ATCATAACAGTTTCTGTCCAAGTACTGTGGCATCTACAGGGCTTTTTAAAAGGGTTTCTACATGAGCTGAAGAAACTAATGTGTTTACAAAGCTAACTGGGTCACAGCAAGCAGATCACAAAACCCAATACCAGGGTATCATCATATCTGTTCAATTATAGTTCAGAAGTGTTGCTGCTGCCCTGAATACTAAATAATATAATAAAATAATGTGAATCTACAATTTTTTTATTATACATAAAAAATAGATTATACAGTTGTTTTTTTTTGACACCACACGAAATTCCTTTTTTTTTTTTTTTTTTTTTCGCATTGCGCCACAGTTTCCTTCCCCTACAGCCCTGCTCACCTAGAGTATCAGCACCATTAGCTTCAACATCTCAGTGTGAGTCAGGGGAGGCCCTTGGGCTCTAACAGGGGGCTCATGCTTGCTCTCATGGACTATTGGTCTTTAATTTTAGTTTCTGACACAACCTGGGAGTTCTCTTGTTAAGGGGTAACACCTGAGAGATTATTATTTTGCTCTCAAGCTGGGCGCCATTGCTGTGTTATGTTGCAAAGACAGGCATATAGCCACCGGAGTAATGCCTTTTCAAGATTTACAATACATTTTGCAACCACTTTGCTTGCAACTTGGTTTTCTATAAACTATACTTTATATGTTGTAAATTTGTTCTATCAAATTTGCTTTCAGGGGATTATTACTGGCTGAATTACTGTATGTTCAGTGGCATCATTTATTTTTCTTAGTGAAGGAGAGGTACCAAATGCCCTTTAAGGTTATGAAAAGACTGAGATTTCCATGCAATGTTAAGTAATTAAAACCTTCCAGTCTCCTCTTCAAGTAACTCTTTGCTTTTTTTAGAGTTAAATCAAGACCACATTAACCTTAACCAAGTGCAGTGACTGAATAAAAATAACCATAAAAACATTTTATTTTACTTGAGTTGATATTGTTGGGAAAACAGACGGTACATTGCATTAACAGTGAACACTGATACGTTCCACATCAACATTTTGTGACTTGGTCTACATGTTAAGTGAAAGTGTTTCCTCAGCATGTTGATAGGTGACAGCATAAAGTATGTTTTTATAAAACCACATGTTATGTTGCAGATGAGTTGCATATGAATGTCATTTTTAGAGGAAAAGGTTGAGATTTATGGCTGAGCCTCACAGCCAGTGTTAGGGTGATTTTCATTTTTAGATAGAAATATATAATTAGTTAGGGTTTTATTATATAGCATACATAAGTTTATATATTTTACTCTCACAGTTGTGTTTATGTTTATGTAGTTACATATCACCTTAAGTCTGCATTGAATCACTGGTCAGTATTTTCTGTGTAAGCCAACTAGAGTACTGTTTAACATCAAAGAGACTGGTTCATTATAACACTGAAAACTTATTAGATTTACAGCTTTAGCAAAGAGGGTCCACAGTTGTTTTATGA